CAATGAGATGTACAAGACGCTATGTCAAAAAAACGAACTTTACAATTTAGGCAGGGTTGGGGGGAGTGTAGTTGAGGAGATGGGAGGGACTATGGTAGAGGAAAAACAAAGGAGGAGGCAACAATGATGGATAAAAAATGTACTCATTACCTTGCTCATGCAACTGTAACCCCTCTGTACAGTATTTTCACAATTAAAAAAAAAAGCTAAGGGACAGTGCCTGGGCCCTAGGTTCAAGCTCCAGTGTACCTCTCTCTCACACCCACACTCACACACAAAATTCTAATCTAAGAGATTCCAACAAGGATTGAATTGTAAATATGGTTCTGAAAAACACATAGGTGCTCTGGAAATGGTTGTTGTATGAATGAACACATGAATAGATGGAGACAGAACTTACAAATATCCAAACAATGGGCCTGACCTTGGGGCAAGACAAATTGCTAAAGAAGAAAAATCAGATTCCCTGTAGTCAGACAGATGCAAATTCAAGTCCTACCTTTCCATATAACATCTCTAACCCTCAATTTCCTTACCTGCAGTAGAGGGAATAATAAAATCATAAAAGTAAGAATAATCACCTAATGGAATTGCCACAAGACTTAAAGAATGCACAGGAAGACTCTTTGCAGAGTATAATGGTGAATTACACTCTAGCTAGTACATACATCTTCCTATTTCATTTCACATCTGGGGCTCACAAGGCTACCAGTCCCAGAGGAGTAGAAAGAGTCCTCTGGGGTCTTAGATCTCCATGAGAGATGTGAGAGCAGATGACTGTTGATTCTGAAAAGAGCTTCCGTCAGAGAGAGAGAGAGAGAGAGAGAGAGAGAGAGAGTGTGTGTGTGTGTGTGTGTGTGTGTGTGTGTGTGTGTGTGTGTGTATGAACCAGTTCAGCAAGAGCCTTTGGGTTTTTTTTCAAGGCAAAAGATAAACTCATTTCATTTAAAATCATCATCTGGATTTCATTAAATGAAAGGAAAAGCAAAAGCATACACCATGCAGTTATTTGTTAAATTAAACTCAATTATTTCTCCTGTTCCTTAATTACAAACAGATATAAATACTCTGGACTCTGACATCTCAGATCTTCTTAAAATTCTTGATCTACATTTTGACTTGTAACAAAGATAGGGTCATATCCCGATTTGTGTGTTAAGCAAACCCAAGAGTTACAATTGTATATTGGGACTATAATGACTTCGCTAAAACAAGACCTAAACTTTTAATTAACCTGCCAAGACAAATTACAGCTCACAGCTCACAGGTAACGACCACAGACAGCTGAGACTCAATGCCAGGGACTCCTGGGAAAAGAGGAATTAATAGCTACATCAGAATCAGTCTGTCTTTGTATTAAAGAAAAAAAAACCCGATGTTCATTAAACAATCACTGTAGCTTGAAGGGAGGTAGACAGGTCAGAAGGTATCAACTGAAGTGGAAGGAGGAAGAGGATGACAGAGAATATTAACAGCCTCTATTTATCGAGAGTGTGTCTTCACAAAGCTGGGCTAGGCACTTCACATTTCTCTCTCCATGCTTCACAATATGATTACAAAGTACCATTTTTTTTGCCTTTTCCTGACAAAAACAATCAGGTTCAGAGAGGTGACATGACTATCTATGGTCATAAATATGACAGGGGACAGTGAATGGGAAAAGAAATGGAAAGCTGTTCTCAGAAGAAATTTATTTTCAAAATGTTGTTCACTGATCACCAGAATCATGATCACCCAAGCCCTGTACTGTAGCCTGAAAAAGACCTAACCTCCTGGTGAATCCTTTCTTGAATGGCATTTGAAGACTCTCTGGTGATCTAATCCTTTGCTAATCAAAACATGGTCAACAACAGCATCAGTATCACCAAGTACTGGTCAGACATGCAGAACCTAAGGTCCCCCTACCTGCTGGAGAAGATTTTGCTTTTCTTTTCTAGCAGAATTGGGGTTCCAACTCAGGGCTTTGTACTTGCTAGGCAAGTTCTCTACTGCTTGAGCTGTGCCTCTAGCCTTTTTCCTTTTTTAAAAAAAGACAGTTACTTTTTTGCCAGGCCACTCTGGACTATGATCTTTTTTTTGGGGGGGGGGTCTGGTCGTGGGGCCTGAACTCTGGGCCTGAGTGCTGTCCCTCAGCTCTTCAGCTCAAGGCTAGCGCTCTACCACTTGAGCCACAGTGCCACTTCCGGCTGTTTTCTTTTTGCTTATGTGGTGCTGAGGAATCGAACCCAGGGCCTCAGGCATGCAAGGCAAGCGCTCGACCACTGAGCCACCTTCCCAGCCCATGTGATCTTCTTCTTTATACCATCCTACCATAGTGAAATGAGAGATCTGTCCCACCAAGCCTAGAATTTTCTTTTGAGATAGGGTCTTACAAATAATTATTTTGTTCTAGACTGGCTGGCTAATACAGTTCTCCTAGTCTTGACCAAAGCCTCCTCCATAGCTTAGATGACAGTGCATACCACTGTGCCCGCTATTGGTTAAGGTAAGGGTTTTGCTAATGTTTGCCCCAGCTGGCCTCAAACTGCAATCCTCACAATCTATACTTCTTGAATAGCTAGGATTATAGGCTTAAGCTATCAGAACTTGCCTAGATTCTGCATTTTAACAAGATCTCTAGGCTGTTCATAAGTATATTAAAGTTGAGGGGCATGGTAAAGCCTATCTGCTCTAACAGATGTGACAGTTAAGAGGGGGTAGGGGAGACTAGTTTCATCATTTAAGGAAGAACAGAGAACCAGGGGGGAAAAGCAAAAACCATCACCCTAATTATGACAGAACAGGTTAGCAAGCTCTGACAAGCCAAGTGTTGACAAAGTTACCTCCTGGTACCACCATCTTATTTCTCAAAGATGCATCTCCTAATTAAAAATAGTTTCCTTTGGGGGGTTAAATTAATAGCCTTTCATATTTATGCTCAGTTATTAAAACACAAATCTGACTGGGCAAGTTCTCAGTTCTCAAGCCAATATTCTATCCTTCCTTGTGCACTATGCCTAGGAGGAGTCAGGCTAGAGAGACCAGGACGCTGAAACTCAGGCACCACTAGGACTCCACAGTTGTGTCCCTAAACAGAAGCCACTGTATCCAAAGGAAAAAAGATACAAAAGGATAGCTTAAGTAAAAGTGAGAGCCAGAAGCTGGGAACTGCTGGCTCAGGCCTGTAACCCTAGCTACTCAGGAGGATGAGATCTGAGGATCACAGTAAGAAGCCAACCAGGAAAGTCTATGAGAATTAACCACCAGAAAACCAGAAGTAGTGCTGTAGCCCAAAGTGGTAGAGTACTAGCCTTGAGCAAAATAGCTCAGGGACAATACCCAGGCCCTGAGTCCAAGCCCCATGACAGACTTAAAAAGTGAGAGGCAGAGGTGGGCCTTCAATGACTGAGAGTAAGGCTGCGATGTTAGTCCACACGTTACCAGCACTCACTGAGCCACAGTGAAATAAAGGGTGGAAAACTTAAGTGGCCTGTGCGAGGTTAAAAGCTAACTTTGTGGTAGAAATCCAGAGCTGGGCATACTTTCCACTATACTGTACAAGAAGCCAACAGCATAGCACCTGCCAACATCGGGATGGCCAAGGGGCCTGCCAATGGGAGCCCAGGGAAGGAAAGATCATGCGTGCACTCATTCCCTTGCCAACCATGGGACACGTCACATCAGACCTACGTGAGTGTTAAGAAACAGAGAGCTAGTCAAAATCCTTCCCTTTCAGGTACTGAGGGTCCAGCAGCTGGGACCACTGACTCTAAAACAAGGAGAGCACAAAGAGACAGTGCCTTTATCAGAGCCAGATGCCCAGTGGCCTCACATTCCTCGCTTTGCACAAAGATGTACTTACACCAGAAACGTATTAACCATGCTTATTAATACTAAAGGCCAAATGGCAAATAAAAAATATGACCTGAAAATAACTAGTTAGAGACAAACCAGAGTCTTGCAAAAGGTTTGGAAACATAGTGCCAAATGAAAAGAGTTCCATAAATTCCGTTTTTCCACGTTAGAGAGATTCCTAGCCAAGGATGGAGGCAGAGTTTTCAACTCTGAATCACATTGAACTTGGCAGGAAAAGGTTCCTTTCCCAAGTCTTCTGGTTCATGGAGCTGTGATTTCCTGCAAGCTTCTTTTCTTGTAGGGGACCTTTATTTCTAGACTGTGTCACAGTACTTCCAACAGAAACACAGGGGAAAAAAATCCTTTCTGACCTAGACCACTAGAACACCCATGCCTTTCAGCACACCACAGCCACCTGGGCAGGAGACAAAGTTTATAGAAGTGTGGGTAAAGAAGAACAAATATGTCAACAGGACCCAGGCCACCACCAGGGGCTTCTGAGGGGGATACAGGCTCTCTTCTGTCAGAAAGCACAGCGACAGTGCTCAGTGTCATTTAGGATACCAGGACTTACTCTTGGTCAGTGGGAAGGACACACTTCTCTATTCTCAAGGATGCCCCAGAATGAGTGATAATGCTTTTCCTCCAGTGCTTTGCAAAGCTGTTTGCATCTCTCTTTGAGCTTTTGTCTTTTTTACTTAGCTGCCAGGGTTTGTTGGCTCCAAAAGCAAAACACAAACCCAACTCAAACCCAAATGACAAATCAGTGAGTTGAACAGAGTGAGACTAAAGATAAATAGATGGGAGACCAGTGCCAAGAGGAGAGATGTTGCCTCCATATGCATGCCATCGGGACTCCAGCCTCCCTATCAGCCCTAACTCTTGGGTCCTGAGAGGCAGATGCTGGTTCACACACACTGCCACATAGGCAACATGAGAGAGGCAGTGGGCACAGAGGCCAGCCTCGGTTGGCCTTCTTCTCTTGTCATTCCCCGCCCTGAATCTCATGTCCAAGTCCTTGCCTAGCAAGCCCACTCAGGATGACCTTAGACCACATTCTGCCTGACAGTCGCAGCTCTGAGCATGACATATTTGTTTCATTGTCAACCTCAGTGTCCCCATTCATCCTCCCATCCAAGAAGACTGCAGAGAGTGGCGCTTCTTACCAACAGCAGTGGTGAGAAAGGAAACCACTTCAGACTCCTTCCCATCATTGTAAAAGGCCAGGTGCCAGATTCCAGAATCTAGATACTGGATGAAGCCGGTCTCGTGGCTGGATGGAGGCACTACACCCCGAGATTGGCGCTGGGGTCCTTCCAGGCTCCGTGCCTCCTGGGTCAGGAGCCTCCTTCCATCCAGTAGCTCCACAAAGTCAAACTAAAGCACAAAGAGAGAAAAATTAGCAGGAAACACAAATGGAGACAGAAGAAAGGAGGCAGACACAGGACAACAGATCATCCTATTCAATCTTCTCCCCAGACTTCATTTATTTGTTTGCGGGGGGGTAGGAGGGAGGGACTGCTTTACCAATAATAGGGTTTGAATTCAGGTCCTGGGTGCTGTGCTTGACCTTTCATTTGCTCAAGGCTAGTTCCCTACCATTTGAGCCACAACCCTACTTCTGGCTTTTGGGGTGCTTAGTTGGAGATAAGAATCTCACTAAGTTTTCTGTCTGAACTGGCTTTGAATCATGCTCTCAGATGGCAATATTCTCTGGACTCTCTTGTGAGTGCAGCAGGAGCAGTACATGTTATTTTAGTCTAGTGTTGTTTTCGCTTCTGGTGCATGTATGGTGAGTGTGTGCTTAGAGCAGGACAGCCATGCTTTTTCAGTGGTAGGTCCATTATCAGAAACTCAAGACACTCTGAGACTGGGTGACCTCTGTGCAAGTGATGGAGGGATTCCAGGGATCTATCAGGGGTCTAGGACTGGGATTGGAACATTGGAATGTCCGTCATGAGCAGATGAAGATTTGATTAGAATCTATCTGTCTTGAATCAATAATCCTTTGTAAACACTCCAGTTTCAGGGAGCAGTTTTAGGAAGACTAAAGTGGATTAGCCCCAAACTCTATCAATAATTACACACTGTGTCAAATACTAATGACAGTTGATCGGAGCCTGCTGGACTACAATTCCAGAGAGTTCTGTCACACAATGCAAATAACAGGTGGGTGCGTAAGACCTACTGGTCCATTAGCCAGGACACTGAGTTACTACCTAGCTAGCTGGATTTTTACAACCAAATAAAAGACAGAGATGTATTCTATCTCATGTTGAACTGGAGGAATGAAACCCAGGACAGTATGACACATCTGTATTCATTAGGGGAGTAAGCTGCTCTGTTATGCTGTGACTCCATCTTGGCAAGTAGATCTGTGTACATTTCTACTAAAACTCTTAACTGACTGTGGTCTGGGGAATGCCTGGAGCATGATTTACATTGCTCTGATTCCTGAGCTGGAAGAGAGTGCACAAATTTCTTTTCTCTCTCATTCATTCCATCCTCTTGGACAAGCTGTTTTCCTTTTCTCTCTTTTTTTTTTTGTGGCATCAGGGATGAAATCTAGGGCCTATCACATGCTGTATCGCTGAGTTATACCTCCAGTCACTTGGACAAGTTCTCTAAGTGTTTCTGATAAACATGTGACTGAGTGAATGTGTAATCGTGAATGAGAAAAGGAATGAAGGAGACTGGGATTTATTTTGAGCCCGATCATATGCCTCACAGATTATCCTTTTTCTTCTTCACAACAGCCCTGCAAAGTGGCTAGTGGATATTCCCATTGTACAGATTTGGAAGTTTGCTTTGAGAGGGTGACCCAAGGTGACATCACTGAGAACAGAAAGATTCACTTGAGTACAGTTTCATCTTCTAGGTTACATTTATGGATGATTTAACTCAGGAAGGAAAGTGAGAAACCACAGAAAAGATTAGCAAAGAGATTTCCTAGGATTCCTTTCTCTTCAAAATCCCTGGAATTTAACCTTGCTCATCTGACCAGCAGAACTGGAGAAAGGGCAAATGGTAGAAAATAAAGGACATTGCCTCCAGGCTCGAGGGTATGGGTTGGTCTTTTTGCCTTGGGTTAAGATTTGAGCTGCAGGACCAGTAGGTATGTGGGGTTCTGGTTACCTGAGTATGTGAAGGAGGAAGGCCTTTTCTGCCATAAATGCCAACCAGAGCTGCTTTTCCCAGGGACACATTGAACTTCAGATGCACAGGGTGGTCTATGAACACCTGAGATCTCCAGAAAGTACCAGGAGGGATCTTCTGGGAAGCTCTTCTCCCCACGTCAATTTCTCCAGAGTCTATAAAACTGTCCTCTGGAAAGAAACTACTGGGTTTTCCTACCAAGACACAGGGGAAGGAAGACAAAAACATCTTGGTTAGCCACATACATCAAGGAATTAGTATCTGCATAGCTAGGACTCTGCTCTCCCTCTCATTCCTCCATGATATTCTGTAGTTAATGCTTCTGCCCTCTCCCACACCAACAAGGTCCAAAACTACCACCCCACCCAGGGATGCTCAAATTGTTCTGATAAAAATAAATCAAGATGCACTGGATTCATAACCTGACTTGTGGAATTGTAAACTCTTTGAACAACTATTTAATAATAAAATAAAATAAAAATATGCTTTCTATGCAGCATGGGTCCTCTCCAGGGACCATCAGTTTACGGTGTAATTCTACAGTTTGTTAAGATATATTATGACCTTAAAAATAATTGTAGTCCCATGAGTGACTGGGATTTCATATGTGTGTGTGTGTGTGTGTGTGTGTGTGTGTGTGTGTGTGTGTTTGTGTATGGTAAAATACAAATGGCAGAGGGAATGAGGGTTGTGACTGAAATTCCAATTTGGAATGCTTCTCCCAGCAGTGGGAAACATGACTTGAGTGGAGTAAAGGTATTTTAAAGTTCACTAATGAGTATAAATTGGAAGCCAGTTCTGAGGCTGGATATGTGGATGGTGCTTTGTGTTTAGAACATGGCTATGGTTTGGTGAAGAAGTCCCTTTCTAAAGAGAAGAAACAATGTCTGAAAAATGCTTATCTTTTCATGGTGATTTCTGTGTTAAAGGAGGTAAAATTGAGGGTATTTTTCAAGTTCATGCAGGAAGTCTATACCACACTTGGAAGTTCAATCTGGCCTTAGCCCTATGTCTAGCACAACTCTGGGGCAAAGGTTGGTGAGGTCTTGTGCTCACAGATCAGGAGAATGACTGTTTTCTGGGGGCAATACTGGGGCCAGGAAGGAAAGCTGCTTATCAAACTTCCTCTTTAGAGTAATGAAACACACTCACATGTGAAAGAGATAAACCCTAACTTCCTGCTAGACCTCAGCCTTCTGAAGAGAAGGAGGGCGCAGGAAATACTGCAGGGATGGTAGAAGACCACCCTTGGGATTCTGAGAAGCCAAAATTAAGTCAGTGGACTGTACTTTATCTGTCATTAGCAAGGACCCCTGGGCATCCTGGCTCCAGGGTTTTTTTGTGCGGTTGGAGATGTTTGAAGATGTTCTAAGAGAACAAGAAGTCATTTGTAAAGAAAACACGTTTGTGGAACTTTTTATAAAAAGCATTTGGAGAATAAGAAATTAAAATGCCTTCTTCCCCCCGCTCCCCCAGCTTTGTAAGACTCCTTACAAAGCACATTTGATGCTGAAATGGAGCTTGGCAGGGCATTGTTGTAGTCATAAAATATTTTACTGTTTTAAATAATAAAATTCAATTTAAATGTTAAACTTCTCCATATGTTATCATTCCCTTATAAACTTCCTAGGCAGAAACATCAGGTTTTTAGCTTCAAACCGTTAAATGTTATTTTAATTAAAAATGTGCCAACAACTAAAAAAAAAAAGTTAAAATGTATGCTATCAATAAAAGTACTCCGAGTGTTCTACCATTACCATGGGAAAGAGTTGGCACTGAATTTCTTCTGGAAGGAATGTGCCCCAGACTTTTACCTTGGAAATAGACACACAAACCACCACACTGTGAATCACACACTTCAAAGACAGAAGCCAAATTCACAAAGCTTTCAAATGGGAGAGAATTATTCACATTCCTCTTCATCTGATCTGTGTGTTCTCAGTACTGCAACCTTTTTAAATGGCAGGTAGAAAATGGTACACCCTAGCTTTAAATTCTGCCAGGGGGCAGAACTAAGGGGGTGGATGAAACAAAAGCAGCATGCTTTCTGAACCTTTCACTCGTAGGGACTGCACAAGACTGCTAATTCTGAGGGTTCATTTTCCTTTGTGAGTAGGTGGGAGTTGGAGCTGATGGGATTCGAGAACTGTCTGCACTCATATAGTTCCTGTGTCTGAAAATAAATAATGGAAAGCTGCTCTCTCCTTTTAGCTTGCTGCTGGAAAAGTCCATAAAGTTCCTTTTCTCCTCCAATAAGTGTTATTTCAGGAGATAGCCAATGTATCAGCTAAGGTGTACAGCCATACAGGTAGGAGGCCAAGCCAGAGACTCCTCCAGACTTCTGCAGCCTCCAGAGGCTCAAAAATGGTGTTATTATCCCAGAGAAGGGGGCTTTGTTGTCTTTCTTCCCTTTCTTCTTTCTTTTCTTTTCTTCCTTTTCTTTGTGCCAGTACTGGTGCTTGAACTCAGGGCCTCATGCTCATTTGGCTTTTTTATTCACTCAAGGCTAGCACACTACCCCTTCTGACTTTCTGATGGTTAGTTGGAAGGAAGAGTGTCATGGACTTTTCTGCCCAGGCTGGCTTTGAACCATGATCCCCAGATCCTGGGTACTAGGATTATAGGCTTGAGCTAACAGTGCCCAGCTAAGGGCACTGATCATACTTTCTAGTATTTCAAGAAGGGAAATACCAGATGGGAAGAAAACAGTAGAGTATATCTCACAAGGGGGATTGAATCTGTAGGGGTTGAGTTCTCAATGGTCTCCACTCTGGACCAATCACAGACATAAGATGGGGTCTGTTGAGGGGAAAAAGCCAACTGTCATTTTTGTCTGACAGAAAAGATGTCTGACATTTGCTGGCCTAGAAGTTGGCAGAGGGAAATGCTTCCTCCTTTCCTGCCTTTTGCAACCCCTTCCAGTCATCCTCCTAGAAGGTTCTTTGCCCTTCATTCCAAGCACGAAGCTGGGAGTATAGTAGAACACAAGATGTCTCATCACAGGGCAAAATCTTCAAATGGTAGGGTAATGAAGGAGGGTAGAGGCTAGAGGCAGATGGAAAGAAAAGCTCTATGTATAAAAATTCTTATCTCTATTTTTTATTTGGGAAGGTAATAATAACCAATATTATAAAAGAAATAGCAATAAAGGAAGAGGTAGTTGTATTTGCTACCATTTAATGAGTTCCAACTACATTGGTAGCTATATTCATTTACACCCGTTCAGTAAATTCTTGTAGCACTCTTAAAATCAGCACACTAATGTTTCAAATGCTAAGGAAACCACTTAGAGATGAAGTCACTGGAAAGATGCTATATGTATTAGAATAAGGCTTTTAAGAGGATTAAACTGATGAATGACATATGAAAACCCCAAAGAGATATCCTCAGGGATGTGTTTTCTCTTTTTAAGAACAAGAATGGTGGAGTTCACAACACTAGCAGGTAAAATATCAAGACATGACCAGGTAGGTCCAAAGCCCAGGTAGGAACTTTCTTGTATTTTAGGGTTTCACAAGTTGATCATGGTTATGATGTAGGAACTCACTGAAGATCCAGAGCAACCAAGATCTCAAGCCATTCACGAGAAGCATATTATACCACCATTGGATGTCCCAGAGTCTTGCCAGGACAGAGAGCCTAGCTAGAATGACCCATGCTCCAAAAGCATGATTAGGTTTCACAGGACAGAGTTCAGTGGAAATGGTCTTTTTCTTTGTAAAGCTAGGTGGATTCAGGCTTTCTAGAGCAATACTGAGCAAATATGCAATTGTGTCTATAAAAGAAACCTCTCAAGGAACTACTTAAATGATTGGATAGCTTATCAAATAAGTAAGATGGGGAAAACGGAAATTCTCTGTTCTTTACATTCAGTGTCTACTTCTCTGAACTGAAAACTTCTCTATAGATTCTAAATTCCTAATCAACTAACCATCTCCCCCTCCTCCCACCTTTTTGGTTCTTTTCGATGCAATAACTTGCACAAAGACTCTTTTAGTTTCCTTAGCAACTGTTTGAAATTTATTTGGTTATCAAAATAAGCTGTTCCATTTTGGAGAGCCCAGCTGAGCCTGCGTAGAGCAATTTGCATGGTTCAAACTGATGGGCAATTTTGATTTCATTGCAGAAAGAAGAAAATGCTATCCCTAGCCCACCAATTCAACCATCAGAAATGCTTGTTTATTCAATCCCCCCCTCCTTTCCCCATTAATGCATAACACAAGTCCTTGTGGCTTTGCTTCAGGAAGTCGCTGTATTTGGTTTCTGTCCCATGACGACCCAGGAATAGTTACAACTACTTTGAAAATATAGAATGAATTACAGTTCAGTGTTATTTTCAAAAACATGACAGACACAATACTAGGATTGTCACATATGGATTTGTATAATTAAAGATATAAAACCTTTAAAATACTTTTTAAAAAAATCCCAAATCTTAGGATGACCTGCAGAGATGACTAATTAGTCTGAATTTCTGGGATTTTAGTAACTAAGATGGAATGGCTTTGGATTTGAGTGGACAAGAAGAAGGAAATGAACATTCTGTGGAAGAAGTATCCAAGTAAGGCTAAATGTGCTAGAGTAACTGGAATAAGTTAATATAACAAAAAAAAGTAGAGTCAGTACTGGGCATGGTAGTTCATGCCTATGGGCAATAAGCTGAATGTGGTGGTGTATGCCTGAAAGCTATGTAGATAAGTAGGAGCACCATAGCCCAGGGATAAATGTGAGACCCTATTAGAAAAAGCCTGTAAAATAAAAAAATGATGGAGGGCATAGTTCCAGTAGTAGAGCACTTGCCTAGCCACCTAGCAAGAACAAGGAAGGTCCAGAGTTCAAACCTCAGAACTGACTGAGAAAAAAATCAAGAATCAAATCCTGGATTGTGCTTCCAAAGCACATTTGCCCTCTTTCTATCCCACTACACTGCTTTCTCATCATTGTGGAGCAGGAACTCATGTCTTAATTCTCAAATCAACTTTACTGATACTGTTAGAAAGGACAAGAAATACAGACTCTCATCAGGGTAAAAAAAAAATCCCTCCCTTTTCATGTATGTCTTAGAAATGAGAGTTTTAGCATTACAATTAATAAACATGAACTGAGTAGCAATTGGTGGGCCAGGGCAAGAAAAAAGAAAAAGAATCATGTGGTTTCCCTTGAACTATGTCCTCTGGTCTCCAGGCAGGTCCATTTTTCCTCACAGTAATTACTTCTGACACTGACCACTTTTTAGCACTACACTGCATTTAAGGGTTTTGTAAACAGGATTTCCATCTGCATCAATAATGACAGATAATCCCTCTAAGCAAAAATACTCCAATTAAAATGAACCAATAAGCAATTTTAGGTTGTCTCTTATCTGGACCTCCTGTTCCTTGGGAAAAACTAAACAAAATCTAAATAACCTAGAAACTAATTTCATTAGTTTGAGATTTCAGATAGATCCTATTCCTGCTTAAAGAATGTCTGTTAGAGATCATAGAGGGAAGAAAACACATAATGTTAAGGGGGATTCTTTGCCAATTCCTTGAGAGTTAAGCATATTTCAAAATCTGTGTTTTAACATGCTGATCTTAAGACTGTCTTCCCTTTATGCTATTCTTCAACCACACTCTATGCTATAAAGTAATGGGAGCATTATAAACTGACAGGCAGGACCATGGACAGAAGCAATCGTTGTGGGGGGGGTGCTAAAGAATCATCAGTTTATTGTGGTGATTCTATGACTAATTTTGCGTGTAGAACTTGCAAAGTAGAAGGCACTCTATAGAGAATCTAGCTCAATGTCCTTTTTAAAAAAATACTGAATAGCATGATTGCATTTGTTCACCCTTCTTCCCTTCAATATCCTTGTGAAGAGAAGGGAAATGAAGCCTATTCTTCATTCAGGGGAATTTGCTTAAGGTTGTAACCATGAGTCAGTGGCAACAGCTAGACTTGAACTCAGAGATACTGACTCTTAACCTGAGCTCCTCCTCCAAGGGCTCTGTTCATGATATCTCCCTCCATATCCTATTCAGGGGCAAAGAAAGTATAAGTTACTTGATGTTTTTAAATCTTAAAATCTCTCCAAAGGAGAGGATTGGCTTTGTTTCTCAAAACAGCAGGTAGGATTTCGGTTTGATTTCCCCCCTCCCCCTTTCTTATTTCCCTTAAAGATGGCCACAGATCAGGAGTTGACTTTGGACTTCAGGATCATCATTTCAGTGGTCATAAGAAGACCCCATGAGCAAGCAGATGCTGCCTTGCTAGGCAAACTGACAGCTAGCAGACAGATCTTTGAAAGAACAGAGACTCAAAAGATATCCCCCCCCCCCACACACACATACCAGACCCACTCCAAAAGTTAACTGAGATAAGGAGAAAGAAGATACAAGCAGTGTAGGCTGGAGGGAGCTTCAGCCATCTTGCTGATGGAGAGGGTACCAGAGCGATAATGCAGGTCACAGCAGATGCAGGATGATGGCCACATTTCCCAGCAAGACAGTCAAACTGGCCTATGAGCTCAGACATCTTTCCTGGTGCCAATTTTAGAGAATCCGTGTCACTCTTGGATGAATTTCTGTCCATGGCATGTTAGAAAGATCTCGGAACATGAGTCTATGGAGTTCCACTCAAAAATCCCACACCCCTAACACCACCTCTACACTTCCATCACACATTGGAATATCCACCTCATTGACAGGAGGATTTCCCATTCACACCTCCTTCTAGGTCTTATAATGGTGGGCTGGATCAGTTCATGGGAAGAGCAAGAGCTCTGGAGTCACAGACAGATTTTCATAGACTAGACTCCACCATCTGCTGGCCAAGTTACTTTGTTCTTAAGTTTCTTTGCTTCTTCCATCTAGAAGTGACATAAATAATTATCCCTACCTCACAGGGTTTTTTTTTTTTTGGTGAGGATTAAATCTGGGATGAAATGTTCGTGGTAAGAAGCTTGGCAACCCACACGCCAGACAAACAGTAGTGATTATTATTACAACTGCAGACGAGAAAATTAAACCTCAAGGGATTTAAGTGACTTACTCCAAGTCACAAGGGTGTTAAATGCTAAGTCACCAGAAGCAGTGTTTCTATCAAACTACAAGGTCCCCAAACCCTTTCTTCAGAAGACATTATCTCCCTTTTCCTCACATCATCTTCTGTAGATACACACTCATGCAATGGGGTTTCCCAGGAAAACCCTAATTCCACCCCCCCTAATTCCCCCCCCTCCCTCCCCATCCCCTAGGAAGTGTGAACATCCAAAAAGCTTCCTTGGAGGCATGGGATGGAATAACACTGAGCATCATGACCCTGCCAGAGCCCCACCCCGAGCTCACAGTGACAAGGAGCTCTGATGAAGAGACAGGTGGAACTGCAGCCGGCATGGAGTGCGGAGGATGGAGGAAGCGCCAGAGCATGGAGCTGTGAGCCAGGCACGTGACGTGCATGATGGAGGTCTCCTTGGTTCAAAGGCAGACACAGGGGACTCACAACACGGACAACGCAGCAACCCTACCTTCTGCGGCTCCTTTGCCTTTCCTGTCAGGGGTCTCTAAGCCAGTGCCCCCTGAAGGATACAGGGAGACGTCCGTTGGCACAGGCCAACTGCTGGCTGTGTCCTCCGTGATCTCATACATCTGCCCCTCCATCGGCTGCAGGTGCCAGTTTAGGCCAAACAGGTGCATGGCTGTGGTGAGCAATGAGAAAAGTCATCTTTTTCTGCCAAAGGGGGAAATGGAACTCCTAAGCCATAAGGGAAGGGTGGGTGGGATGGGGAACACACATGGACATGTTCGTTTTTGTTCAACAACAGGTCCTGCGGAGAGCTCGTACAGGGTCAGGCCCTGCTTGGGAGACTGGGGACAGAATTGACCGACGTTCCATCCCTGCCCTCCAGGGCTCACAGTCTGGTGGTGCTAGACATAGGTCAGGAAGGGAAGAGACACAGGTGGTCTTTGCCATTTCTTGCAAAAGATAAAATAACAGTATTCATGAGGAAACATGTAATTTGTATCCCAAAGGGTTAAACTTTTATGTCAGCTCTTGGGCTTGAATTCAGGGCCTGGCACTTTTCCTTAAATTTATTTATTTATTTATTTTGTTTTCTCTCAAGGTTGATATTCTACCACTTAAGCCACAGTTCTGCTTCTGTTTTGTTGTTGTTGTTGTTTGTTTTTGTTTTTGTTTGGTAGTTAATTGGAGATAAAGAATCTCCAGAACATCCCAGCAGTGGTGGCTCATGCCTGTAATCCTAGCTACTCAGGAGGCTGAGATCCGAGGATCAGGATTCAAAGCCAGCACAGGCAAGAAAGCCCTCAAGACTTCTATTTTCAATTAACTACCAAAAAAGCTGGAAGTGAAACAATGGCTCAAAATGGTAGAGCCCTAGCCTTGAGCAAAAACAGCTCAGGGACAGTGCCCAGGACCTGAATTCAAGCCCCAGGACCACCAACACTACAAAAAAAAAAAAAAAAAAGAATCTCATAGAGTTTCTTGCCTGGGCTGGCTTCGAATCTGAATACTCAGATTTCAGTCTTCTAAGTAACTAGGATTACAGGCATGAGCCACCAGTGCCCAACTTACCAAGAGTTAATTTTTTAATACAAAAATACCTAGTGCAAATACGCAAAGTCCAACAAGTCAGAAAGAAAATAGGCAGAGAATATGAAGAGACCGTGCTTAGCATAAGAAATACCAATGGTTCTTAATCACATGCAAAGACTTGACATCACTCAGAGTGAAAGAAATGTAAGTTAAACTCTGAAATATTATTTTTCACATATGGTTTGGCAAAGATAAAAAGGGCTGAAAATATAGTATATTGGCCAAGAATGGGAAGCAAGTACTCTCATACTTGGCTGGTATGAGCATAAATTGGTATTTGAGAAAAGCTATAAAAATTTAAATATATACACCCTTTTACCCTCAGAACTTAAAGATTACAATTCTAGAAATTTCTCCTCCAGTTATATTCACACATGAACTAAGCAATGTACATACAAGATTATTCTCCACAGCATAATTTGTAGTCATAAAATGTCATAAACCAGCCCATTGATAGGGAACTAGATAAGTTACATCCACACAATAAAGTTGTAGAGAAGCATAAAAAAGAGGGAGGAAGCTTTTTATGTATTGTTTTCTTTTTTCTGGAGCAACACTAACATGCAGAAGAGTTTTGACATACTAACTTTGCATTTAACAAAACTGCACATCCGCTTTAATATTTCTGGAGGGATCGCCCTATACAGGAAAGAGATGCTTTGGGTTAAGTGTAAGAGGGAGACATTTCACTAAATTTCTTCTATATAGTTTCATTTTGTACTGTAGATGTACATGTTTCTATTTTTAAAATGTTTTTTCCAGGATTGTAACTGCTAAAAGCTCTGACAGAACCATGTAGAAGAGGCCATAAGATAGTGAAGAACAAACACAATGCTGGAGAAGGCTAGGAGTCTGTTTGCACAGAGAGTTAGGATCCAGGACAGGACACCTGCTTTGGCAGTCAACACTTGGACCTTATCAGTAGTACAGACTTAGTTCTTCCAAGAATTCTACCCCGATTTCTCCATATAGAACAGGCATTCAGGTCCCTGGACTCCACAGGATGCTGTGGGTAGCACTCACCCCTGTGTTCCATTGATGAACATTTTCTAAAAGCCACTTTCTGGCAAACTCTGGAAGCCAGCATTCAGTCAGTCAAGGGAAGTCAAACAATTAACAAAGTCCGTTCAGAAGACCAAGGCCCTCAAGCTGGCTGGTGGTGTCATCCTAGTGATTCAGGAGGCTGAGATCTAAGGCACAGGTTTGAAGTCAACCTGGGTAGGAAAGTCTATAAGACTCTTATTGTCAGTTAACCACCAGAAAGCTGGAAGTGAAAGTGTGGCTCAAGTGGTAAAGTGTCAGGCTTGAGTAAAAAAGGTAAGGGAAAGAGCTCAGGCCCTGAGTTCAAGCACTAGTGCAGAGAAACAACTACTACAAACCCTCAAAAACACAAGACCTATGCCCAGAGGACAGGATGACTGACCCAGAAAGGCCACAGGAATATGGGAACATTCTATAGGAATATGGAGGCCCATCATGATTATGTTTACTGAGGACAAACTGTGTGACCACCAGTCTACCCTGCAACTTGCATATGTAATGTCCAGTCCTCATGGCAACCCCACCATGCTCCATTTTCAGAGGTGATATTAAAATTCACAAAGTTAAAATTCCCAACACTGAAAAGATAATGAATTCCTGAAGAGATGATGTGCCTTCGCCTGGATTTGCTCATTATGCACTGTATGTATGAATCTAATGATCACACTGTACCCTACAACTAGGTACAAATACTAGATCTCAGTTAAAAAAATTAAAGATACGTAAGGTTAGTTAAAATGATAACGCTATCATTTATGAGTGGTAACCATGTGCTAGACATTCATTGTTATAAGCACTAGAAACAGCATTTCTTTAACTTTCATAACCATCCTTAAAGGTGAGTGTTAATAACCCCATTTAGCAGGTGAAGAAATGAAGGCACAAGACCAACAGCTAGATATACAATTGACTAAGAATGACTGAGAAGTGGCAGAGTCTAGCTTAGAATCTGGAACTGACCAAACCTGAAAACATACACTATCAGTCTTTCTATCATAGAGGTCCAGGCTCTACTTACTTTGCCTTGCTCCTGTTCACTAGCTGAATGTAGCAAGGTGGGTATCATAAAGACTTCCAGGCCTTTGCATCAAACAGCCTCCCAGACCTTTCCAACTCTGTAGGTAGCAACCCAGCATCTGGGAGATAAAGGCAGTTGTGCTACCTTGACCCCCTTCTGGATGACAACATGAATAATGGCTTTGTGTGTGTGTGTGTTTGTTGGGGGGGGGGTAACAGCCTTGAAGCCACAAAACACAGCAAAGTTACCATGGAGCACAGCATCCTCTTCTGAGTACATGTGCACAAAGCCATGTGAGAGACACACATTTGATTTAGCCAGGAAGTTCCATCTACTCTGCTAACTACCATGGGAATGACCAATCATATACTTTCTCTTTGGTTACTGTGGGGAGGGAACAGAGGCAAAACCAAACAACAACAACAAAACATTGAAAAAAAATCCTGCTTCTAGCCAGGTGCTGGTGGCTAATCTTTGTAATCCTAGCAATTTAGAAGACTTGAGTTCTAAGGTTTGTGGTTTGGAGACAGTGTAGGCAGGAAAATCCATGAGACTCATCTCCACCTCTAGAAGTGGAGCTATGGCTCCCGTGGTGTGGTAGAGCATTAGCCTTGAGCAAAGAAGCTAAGTGACAGTGTCCAGTCCCTGAGCTCAAGTCTCAGTATGGGCACACACATACAGGATACACTTGTGTACATACACACCCCCATAAATAAATAGGGGAAAAAAACCTTGCTTCCTAATTGCAGTATTCTCCTCTGAGAAATGCGGATATAAATACTGTACATTTTTCCATCAGTGGGGTACCAGGTGACAAAGTGCTTTGCCAACTGTACCTAGGTGCTATGTTTCCCAACCTTTATATTTGGACTGTTGCAATTATACCGACAATAGTTGCTGACACTTACTGAGCACCTTGGTAGATACCAGTACCAGGTGAGGTGCTTTGCCCTGTTTTCCTCAAAAGAGCATGTGATAATAATAAAAAGGAACATTTAATATGCCCAGAAGGAAGGAAAATGAAGGTCTAATTAGCTCATGGTTTTGCTTTCCATCTTCTGTCTTAATCTATATATTGGCAATTGCAAGGATAATGGAACACTTGTTTGAACTACACACAGCTCAGATAGATGCAGCTAAGGGGGCTACATTTCCTTGCCCATTAGAAACAATTACCTTATTCAAGTGTGCAATGGTGCTGTCTGGTTCAAAAGTCATGAAATCAGTCTTACAACAATGAATATCACTCTGACAGCTTGTGAAGAGAAATATTTTCATTAGCACAGAGATATATTTTTGGGGGTAGGGTGGCTGCTACTGAGGCTTTTCAGAGTCTTGTATTCATTCTACTTTATCACTTATGACATCTACCACTTGAGACAGAATTCCATGACTCCAGTCCAGCTTTGTGCTCGAGATGAAGTCTTTTGGATTTTTCTTCCTGGCCTGATTTCAAACACAGGTCTCACCTTCCTGATTACAGATATGAAACACCAGCTCCTTACATAAGAGGTTACAGCCAGGGGCTGGGAAGGTGGCTCAGTGGTAGAGTGCTTGCCTTGCATGCATGAGGCCCTGGGTTCGATTCCTCAGCACCACATAAGCAGAAAAGGCTGAAAGTGGCACTGTGGCTCAAGTGGTAGAGCACTAGCCTTGAGCTGAAGAGCTGAGGGACAGCGCCCAGGCCCAGAGTTCAGGCCCCACAACCAACCAAAATAAATAAATTAAAAAAAAAAGAAGTTACAGCCAGACACCAGTGGCTCATGCTTGTAATCCTAGCTACTTAGGAGGCTGAGACCTGAGGATTGTGGTTCCAAGCCAGCTCAGGCAGAAAAAATAAAAGTTCCCATGAGACTCTTTTCTCCAATTAACTGCTCAAAAACCAGAAGTGATGCTGTGTCTCAAATGGTAGAGCACTAGCCTTGCACAAAAAAGCTGAGGGACAGCGCCTATGCCCTGAGTTCAAGCCCCATGGCTGACAAAACAAAATTTTTTAAAAATTACCTTCCCTCTCTCCCCTCTTC